GTGCTGCCTTGCGGGCAGGCTGCAGAAAGAGGGAAGAAACGGGTGAGCAGCCCCCGGTTTACTTCCCGCCTGGGGCGCAGGGCTGGCTGCAAGGGGCGGGCGCTTGGTCAGGCAGGATCCTCTGTCCAGTCTGCCCTTGAAAATGCCCACGACTTGCCTACAAGCCTCTGGGGAGCGGGGTTCAGGATACACCAGGTAGCCAGCCTGCGTGCTACGTGGCTGCAGAAAGAGGGAAGAAACGGGTGAGCAGCCCCCGGTTTACTTCCCGCCTGGGGCGCAGGGCTGGCTGCAAGGGGCGGGCGCTTGGTCAGGCAGGATCCTCTGTCCAGTCTGCCCTTGAAAATGCCCACGACTTGCCTACAAGCCTCTGGGGAGCGGGGTTCAGGATACACCAGGTAGCCAGCCTGCGTGCTACGTGTTGGGTCCCAACCCTTTTTTGTACTTTGTTCACATCGATGGCCAGTGCCGGCCCAATAGATAAGTAGAAAACAGCCTCCCACCCAGCCAGTGCCCGTCGCTCCAGACCTGCTGCCCCCATGGATGACCACAACAACTGGACCAGTGCTGCTGGTGCGTCTCACTCCCGCCCTGCTGCCCCACCGCCCGACACGACCTCCCAGTGTGTGGGGCAAGGGGGACCTGTGGGGCCTGGCGGCCACGTGCCACTCCCAGATTTGTGCTCCCACAGCAGGCACGGGCTGCAGCCTGGCCCAGTGCGGGAGAGCAGAGCAGGGCGGCAAGATTTGTTGCTGCCACCACTGCTGCTGGGACTCCCACGCCAGCCATGCTGCCAGCAGCATGAGGAGTAATGTGGTAGGCGCTGCCCTCATCTTCTCCTGCCACCAGCCATTTGTGCACTGGGCTTTGGCTCTACCCCACTGCCATGAGCCAGCCACCACTGCTGCTTTCTTCTGCAGCAAATGGAAAACCCAGATCCCCGTTTATTAATATGCACAGAATTAACAAATGATGAAGCACCAGTAGCATGTAAAATATGCTCCATTTTTCAAATTTATTCATAACCTTTTCATAATATTCTTGCAACCCACTTTGAGAAACGCTGTGTTAAAGCACAAAGGCAGAAATGGTTGGTAGGTCTGACAGGATCCCAGGGCACCCCCGGTTCCACCGCACCCTGACTGAGAATCACTGCCTTAGAGCAGCCACAGGTCCAAAGTCCAACAGAGCCAGATTTGAGTAATGGCGTGTGCCAGAGCCTCAAACCCAAACACCCAGAAAGGATCCGCTACAGCAGGGAAGTCCAGGTGTAACTAAGCACCTGGCAACTGCATTGGTTTCACTGAAGCCCTTGTGTATATAAAATAGTACATTTGATTTTCTGGTTTGTTTGCTGGATGGAAAACTTGGAACTGAACACTGTAATTTGCAAAAATTTTCTGTTCTTTTTATGCTCAAGACCAGACTAAAAGACAAGAGAGAGGCAGTTAGGGTTAGTCTGAAGTCAGATAAGAGCAGAGCCGGCCTTAAGGGCACCCTGGTTGGGGGGTGCCACACACACACACAAACACACATGTGGGCAGCCCACACTCACAGAAGCACTATCTCCCCATCCCTCCCAAGCAGATCCCCACCCCAGGCAAGAGGAATGGTGCCCAGCCCAACTCTGACCTCCAGCGGCTGCTTAGGAGGAGCTGGAACGGGCAGCATGGGTGGCAGCAGTGGTGCCTGCCTGCCTGGCGCACCATGCTACTCCACCTCCTCGCTGGACTGCATCCAGCACTTCTGCCTGCCTGCCTCTGTCCATAACGCTTTATGCGTGCTCTGATTGGCTGACGGAAACATCCCAGCAAAGTGTGAATGCAGCATTCAAACAGGAGGTGGTGGCGCGGAGGAGTGCCACCATGATGGTGGGGACACGGGATGGAGCAGGGGAGGGCAAGGCCAGCCCTGCTCCCTGGAGGTGACAGCAATGGAGCAGACAGCAGAGCACCCTCCTTGCTCCTTTGAGGTGGCACCACTGGCCTTGCCCCATCTCTGTCCTGCGCTGCTCCCTCCCAACATGGGGGGGGGGGGGGGAGCAGCAGACCCAGGCCAATGCGGCGGGGGTGAGGGAGCCTGGCCCGGCCCTGAAACAGAGGTGGGAAGGATGAGGGGGCACGGGCCTGGCCTCAAAATGGAGAATGGGGGGGTGGAGCTGGGCCATGCAATGGCAGCAGGGAGGGTGAGGGGACCAGGCCCAGCCCCTGGCAGAGTGGGGCAAAGAGGGAGTGGGCCCCTCCCCCCTGCTCCGTGGAGGAGGTGGTGGCACGAGGGGGGAATGGGGGTGGGGCCGCCACGGCAATGGGGGACAGGGGAAGCAGCCCTAAACCCAAACTGCTGGGGCGGGAATGGGATCAGGCCCAAAGCGATGCTCATTCTAGCCACACCCAGGGCTGCAAATGGCTGCAAAAGCCCACTTAGGTCTCCCTCCCAGAGCCAGTCAGACTAGGCTAATGCTAGCCTAGCATCAGCTGAGATAATGCTCAGCACCAGGAGTCAGGGAATCCGCAGAAAGAGCCTGATCCCCTGCCAGGACTGCAAAGTTGGCAGGAGCCCTTTGCATTCTGCTGGCTCTGGGGCCCTTCAGCTCCCGACACCTAGTCCCATCAGCCACGAAATTGCTGCTTACTGTTTGGGTTCTGCGGGCTGCAGCCACTTAGCCAGGAATCCCAGCCCTGCCTGCCGGTCTGTGGCCCTGTCATGACCAAGCATGAAACAGCCAAAATCTGCTCCCTGCACACCCCTCCAATGGGCACTGGTTCCATAGGCAGGAATGTGCGGGGAGCAGATCGCAGCTCTGCCCTGGGCCGTGGCCCGTGAAATTGGTGCCTGTCACAAGGACATGTTAGGAACAGATTGTGGCTCTGCTCTGCGTTCAGCCAAGATGGGGCTGCAGATGGGCAGGGAGTGGTATCCAAGAGTGGGATGGGCATACAGGGCCGAGGCTAGAATCCCTGGCTAAGTGGCAGCAGCCCACAGAACACAAACAGTAAGTGGCAGCCAGGACCCACGTGGGCAGGGCATGGGCAGATGGATGGAATCAGCTGTTTAGGGCATTTTGGTGAGCTGTTATGGGGGGCAGGTGCTGACCCAGCCCATGACAGCTTATCAAAACTCCCTATGTGGCCTGTGGGCCCAAGTAATTGTCCACTTTTGATCTAACAGCTGATCAGTTAGAAATGACAGAGAAAGTAAAAGATCTGATTGTATTAACTGATCACAAGATCAATTAATTTTGAGCCACCAATGTAATGCAGCCTTGCAAAAGCAAAAGTGATCCTAGGATTTATCACGCAACTTATTTCCATTAGAGAGATATGTATTACCTTCTTTATATAAGGCCTTGGAATACAGTGGAGTCATAACTGCATAAACACACCTTCCCCAAATAGCCAAGAACTCAACATTTCTCTCCCACCCTGCATGGAAACTTTAAAAATGGCATTAAACAAATTACTGATGACTCAAGACAAAAAAACCAAAGACACAATTCTCTCTTCCTTACAAAGGATCTACCATAAAATAATGAAGAGGAAAAGCCCACTTAATTTTAACCACTTGCAGCTACAATTAATGAACTAAGTTATGCTACTGATTTTCTTAGATTTAGTTCAATAATCAGTGTATTAATTAGGGTCTATTATACACTACATGGTTAGCAGGCAGAATCTAAGTTCTGCTGACAAAACTAGACATGTGTCCATACTCATAGTTCCCCTGTGGCCACAGAAACCCTTCCTTCTGATGGCGGAGCAACACGAGCCTCACAAACATCAGGTTTCTGCTGCCACTCAGCCCACTGAGAGAAGGCACTGGCTGGGGCAGACCCAGGGGTTGCAGCAGTGCAGTTGCAGTCCTCCTTCTATTGTGCCACACATGAGCTCTTGGCATGGCATCTGACCGGAGTGCCTGCTTTCATGGGCAAATATTGAACAATTTACAACACTCATCTTGGTTAAATATTTGCATTTTTATACCAGTAAAAGATTATATTTCTCGATGGGAGGATTTCCATACAAAGTATCCTTCTGATTAAAAAAAAACAAACCTTTCCTGGATCTAAGAAACCCATTCTAGTACTGTCAGAACCATCAAACTGAATATGAAATAGATTATTTTTATGGTCAATAACATGCACGTATCCAATCACCATGTTAAAGTTCCAGATTATGAAAAACATCCTTGCTAGAAACAAGACGGAAAAAAAAGTCAGAAAATATTTATTGCCACAGCCAAAAGCTTTCTAACAACTGTTTGATTTAGCATTCAGGATTTCGGAGTTGATATAACTAACATGACAAAAAGTTCCATTTATAAAAAACCATAATTTGCCATTCAGATGACTGTTCAGAGAATTACAGTTCTCTAATGTCAAATCAAATTCTGCCTTTTGTTAGGATAGCAGAGTAAACAGTCATCGCTCTGGCTGTATATTATAATAATTTAATTGATGGCTCCAGTGATCATTCATATGGTATGACAGTGAAGCGTAAGTGGTTTATGATTATGGTATCATTAAATCCCAAGGCAATTTCTATGAGACTCATGACAAGCCATCTGTTGGGTTATTTTAAATAAAATATAGTACCATCTTTACCTTAAGTACCAAAACAATGGAATATTCATTGGTACAACAACGTGAGATCATTAAAAAACTACCAAGCAAAAAGTGCACAGGATGTTAGCATTCTTCATTGGTCACTGAACTGAGACGTTTACACCATAAGATTCAGCATAGAGCAGCAAGTGACATGGTCTCCCCAAAATTTCTAGTCAATGAAAGCAGCCTGATTGATTTTTCATTTTCTAATAGTAAATGTGTTGCTCGTAAGAGCTGGTAGACTAAACGATTAAGGCCCTACTTCAGTAAGCCTGGAATTGTGCTTAATTTTAAGCACATACTTAAATCCATCATTAGTCAGCAAAGCACTGAAGCATGTGCTTAACTGTAAAACAACTGGTATGTAAACATGTGCCTTAAACACTTTGCCCTAATGGAACCCAAGTCTTTTTCCACAGAACAGTTGGGAGCCAAAAGCTGCAGTTCAATGTAATGGTCTGCCAGCTAGCAAGCACATGGAGCGAGGGAACCACCTCAAAAAGGTGTGTGAGTATTTCAGTCCCTATACTCATTTGGTCCCTATACTCCAAAACCCTATCCTGTGACTAACAAGGATGCCAACTGTGATGGTGGGTTTTGAGCCATCATGCTCTTCCAGCAGGAACTGGACAGAAACCAACCCAACTCGGTCATTTCATATAGACCCATCAAGCAGATAGCACATTGTCATGTTTTGGGATACACCAAACTGGATATATTAAACTAACGAGTTAAAGGTGAAAGGATCTGCATCTCATTATCAAAGCTATCCATTGTCATGAAATTTGAGTTAAAAAAATACAGTTTATTGACATCAGATCTGTTAGGCTTATTTATTAATAGTACAGTTTATAATTGCTAAGAATTATTAGGACCATTCATACATTACTGTAGGTCACAATATTCATGGCATTACAACAACATTCAAAACACTTTTGGGATCTGTAATGTACAACACGAAAGTTCTGCTATTGAGGTTTTGGGGGTCTTATCCACTCATTTATCCAGTCCACGTATTTGGTCACTCGGGTATAAACTCCAGGCTTGTTGAACTTGGCACATCCTTCTCCCCAGCTGATAATTCCATAGAGGTAAGTGATTTCATTTTTTTCGCAGGCCAGAGCTCCACCAGAATCTCCCTGTGTAAAAATTAAGGAAAATGCTAAAAACATGGTAGATAATGGTTTTTAATGTTATGAAGTAGGGACATCCCTAAAGAGTGACTCACTTGTGAGAATGAAAGATCCAGTTTCTGTAAACCAGGGGTTTCAAATGTCCCTTCCAGCCCCAAACAACTATGAAACTATACAGTCTGCGGAGTAGATCTCGCCCAGCTGGGCTACTGACAGGCCGGGGGATTTGGAGGCATGGCTGCAAGGGACTGGGGCCTGCTGCAACATCTAGGACCCAGCTGGATATGGCTCTCAGCAGCACACAGGCGAGGGAGGGCTGAGCCATGGGCATGGCCTCTTGCCCCACCACTTCTGGTGGGTACAGGGGGAATTTGACACCCCTGCTCTAAACTTCAATAATATTTTCTAAATAGGATGGAATTCAATGCAGACAAGTGCAAGGTACTGCATCTAGGGAGAAGGAACCAGCAACACACCTATAGGCTGGGAAACACCTTTCTTGTCAACATGGTGGCAGAAAGGGATCTTGGAGTCATTGTTGGCTCCAGGATGAACATTAGCCACCAATGCAAGGAAGCGGTCAGTAAGGCTAACCGCACCTTGTCGTGCATCTACAGATGCATTACAAGCAGGTCCAGGGAGGTGATCCTTCCCCTCTATGCCACGTTGGTCAGGCTACAGTTGGAGTACTGCATCCAGTTCTGGGCGCCGCACTTCAAGAGGGATGTGGCTAGGATTGAGAGGGTCCAGAGGAGGGCCACTCACATAGTCAAGGGGCAGCGGGGCAGGCCCTTCGAAGAGAGGCTAAATTGCCTGAACCTGTTCAGCCTCTACAAGAAAATCACCAGGGGAGACCAGTAGGAATTGGGGGAGGCTCTGTGCCCCCAGGCACCACCCAGGGTTACTAGGAATAACAGCCACAAATAGAAGGTTCAGGCTGGATATCAGGCGACATTACTTTACAGTCAGAGCTGCCAGGCTCTCAAATGGACTCCCAAGTGAGGTGGTGCTCTCTCCTCCTTGGGGGTCTTCAAGAGGAGACTGGACAGATATTTGGCTGGGGTGATATGACCCCGGCACCCGTTCCTGCCCAGGGCAGGGGGTCGGACCTGATGATCTGTTTAGGTCCCTTCCGACCCTAAGTACTATCATACTATGAATGATAAATATTTTCACTTCACTCAAAACTCTGTACTGCATACCATGTACTTCCTGCGCTGAAAATTTTATATAGTTCTGCTAGCAAAAGCTAAGTAAATACTGGTTAAAAAGATAAATACAATAGATTGCAAATTTAGTAAATTCAGTGCTTCTGTAAAGAACATTTTTTAAAACAACCTTTTGAAATATAAATCTGTATGTTAAAATTCAGCATTTTAATATTAATTTTACTCAGTAATAACCAGAGAGTGTCAAAAATACTTGGCAGTGGATGCTTTTGAAATCCCAACCTGAAGGCACAAGTGCCCAATCTGGTTCCCACTAAAGACAGTGGAAGCTTTGTCATCAGTGGGAGCAGACTCAAGTCAACATTTTTCAAATTACCTCTATTATAGCAACATTTCTGGATGCAAGCGAGCTAGTTGTACACTCAAATCATACCTGTAGGTATGCAGAAATCTGCTTTATGCAAATATGATTTTGAAGTTCTATATCTTGCTCTCAAATTTTGGATATCCCATTTGAAGATGTGGAACTGTATATCTTATTTTTATTTTGGCTATAAGGGTCTTTAAACATTTTCAGAAACAATATGCTAATAGTATGTCTGCTGTGACATTACTCCAGGCATGTTATGAAGTATTCAAACTTTGCAATCATCCAGTAAGAATATCAGTTTTTAAAAAGAAAGAAAAAAACCTCTGCTATTTCTATTGTCAGAACTGAAAATAAAACCTTATATCTTCTTGGTCAGTAGTATTGGTGAAAAGAACCATCATTCCTTGGCAATTTGAAACCAAATATAAGAAATATATATTTTTCCATCAGCAAATTCTCTGAGATCAAAGTGGAGAGGAAAAGTTTTGAGGTTGTTACATGAAAATGTTTCAGTGACCAACAGTGCATCAAATGAAGTTCAAGTTCTGAGAAGACTAATTTACTTCTCAAAACCTTCTTCATTACTCTTTACATCTAAGAAATATAAAGAAAAAAAAACTTATCTCCAAGAAAAAATAAAGTCAAGCAGAACATGCTGTTTGGCTGGTCTCTTGGGGTGGAATTCATTTAATCTTTGTGCACCTTGGCCAATTGCAGATGTTAAAAAAAAAAAACAACAAAAAAACACTTTACCAGAAGAAGCAGCATGTTACTTCAACCCAGCTCACCCAACATCTGTAAAGATCTGGTGTATTAGTAGGGCTTTTTGACACTTCTAGCTAGTTGATTCAATCAGCTGTTAGATAAAAGCGCCAAAAAGCCCTACTAAAGCACTAGATCTTTATAGATGTCAGACGAGCTGGGTTGAAGCAACACTCTTCTGGGCCTGTGTGGGGCTCGGCGCTGGAACACCCTGAGTTTAAAGTGCTGTTTTGGGGGGGGTTACGTCTGTAAGCACCCCTTAATCGCAGTTTTCTAGCCATGTAAGTGGTGTTCACCCTCTAATACACAGTTTATAATGTTGTTACCCCTGCAGTGTGTCCACGTAAGCTTGTATGCGTATCTTGTGCATACTCGTAAGTTATGCATGTCCAGGCAATTAATCATGTATGCTACAGACCCCCACACCAAGGGGAAGAACTAGATTTGGAACTCTTGAGGCAGCTCTCGGAGACCATAAAGATGAGGGAGGCGGTAGTCATGGGGGACCTAAACTACCCTGACATCTGCTGGCAGACACAGACAGCGAAGTCCCTCCATTCACGCAGGTTTCTATCCTATGTACAGGACCTCCACCTGACACAGGAGGTACATAGTCTCACTAGGGGGAATGCCTTACTGGACCTGGTATTGGCAACAGGAGATGACATGGTAGGGGACCTACAGATCAGTTGTCACCTGGGGGACGGTGACCACCAAATAATAGAATTCATCATAAGGCGTAGAGTGGGTAAGGTAACTAGCACGGTGGAAGTGCTAGGCTTTAGGAAGGCTGACTTCAGCAAACTCAGGCGTTTAGTCAATGACGCACTGCAGAGTATGAGATTTGTTGAGATGGGAGCCCAGGAAGGGTGGCTGTGCCTTACGGAAACAATCCTTCAGGCACAGAGGGAGACTATCCCGACACAGGAGGAAAGGGGCCAAGAGGCTTACTTGGCTGACCAGAGAAATCCAGAGCAGCCTATGGGCAAAAAAGGGGGGCAGATAAGCAGTGGAAACAGGGAGAGATTACTAAAGAGGAGTATACCTCCTCAGCTCGCAGTTGCAGGGAGGCAGTTAGAAAGACCAAAGCTACCATGGAGCTGAGGATGGCATCCCATGTTAAGGATAACAAAAAATTGTTTTTCAGATATATAGGAAGTAAAAGGAAGGCCCAGGGTGGAATAGGACCCCTACTAAATGGGCAGAAGCAATTGGTGACAGACAGAGGGGACAAGGCTGAACTCCTCAATGAGTTCCTTGCCTCAGTGTTCCTAAACAAGGGGCAAGACAAGACTCACAATGGGATTGTTAGAGAGGCAACAGCAGAGTGCCAGACTACAAAGCGTTGACCCTGAGATGTTGCAGAGTCACTGGGAAGGACTGGATGCATTTAAGCTGGCAGGCCCGGATGAGCTCCATCCGAGGGTACTGAAGGCACTGGCTGACATCATTGCACAGCCACTGGCCAGAATAATTGAGCACTCGTGGCACAC